GTGTGTGTGTGTGTGTGTGTGTGTGTGGTTGTTGTTGCGTAACCTGAGTGGGTGTCCAGTGTTTACAGCCTGTGATTGTGAAACCTCTCACAGAGTTTGGAGGAAACTCGATGTTCAGTCGTTCAGCGTCTCTTTGATTCTTCTTCATGTTCATGAGTTAAGTTGAACTGAACTCCTGCTGAAGCTCCTGAGTTCTGGTTCTGGTCCACATTCACGTCTTTTTAGGCCTCAACGGAGGAGATTTAATCATCCACATCTGCACTAATTAAGTAGAATGAACGTTATTTTAATGTTTCTGTTTGGTCACATGAGAACATTTAAAACTTTGCTAATTATATTCCATCTGTGGACAAAAACCTGATGAATAAAACTGAAAATTAAACACAAAACATCTAGAATTTAACAGATAATTATATTTATTTTACGTTTCTTGGCTGTAAAATTCTGTCATTCTCGCATCAATGAATGAAAAATTAATTTAAGGCTACAGGGAGAAAAATAAACGATATTAAAGGGCTAAATTAATGTTTGTTTTTAAGGTTTGTGCCGGAAATCGGTTTGAGGCACAAGAACAGTAAATATTCAGATAAAAACTAATAATAAAACCAATTTAAAAAACAGAAAAATAACATTAAGATTAATTAAATGCAAGAGACCAACACATGCAGCGAGTAAATAAGGAAACAGTTCTGTGTTGTTGAGCTAAATTATGAGAAAAGAGTGAAAAAAAAACCGTTCAAAACCGGCTAAAATATTCACTTTAGTGTCGTGTGAAAGCAGGAAAACTCACATCAGCGTTATTTTCTACATGTACTAGAATAAAAAGGATTCAAGGATTCTAGGAACTTCATTTGTCGTGCCAGCTCACATTCACATGTTTGAAATTAGTACTCATTAGCACTCAGGTCCCGTTTTTTTGTTTTGTTTTGTTCTGTTTTTTTAAGAAAAAGCCTAAAAACAATAAGCACAATAAAACAAGAGCAAAATATAAGTAAAAATGCAGCAACAGAAGTGCAGTAAGATCAATACAATATATATAATAGAATAAATATCACATTTATTAGTTTTCTGTTTGCATACAATCTGTGAAATGTGAACTCTAGTCATCAAAACAATCTGATATGAGCCTTAAAGTCGTTTTTAGAACCAGGACTTGTGTTTGTTTTGGTCTGTTTTGTTTTTCTGCGTCATTATTTAAATGTTTGCTGCAGATTTTTGACATTTGTGGTAGAATCTGTTTTTTTCTTGCAGTTGGTTGAAGCTCTTTGGATAAACTGATTTCCTTCTAGCTGCTCCCTCTCCTCCTTCCTGTTGGTCGTTATGTCCTGATAGCTGGTGGCTAAACGCCGACTCCTTCTGTCCTGTGTGTCCCAGAGATGTAGCGTGTTTGTTGGCGTGACCGGCGGACCATCATGCACCTCTTCCTGCTGCTGATCCTTCAAGCCACAGCAGCCTTCGGACAGATCGACCCGGGTACGACCCATAGAACACGTTCTAGCTAGAACCGGTTTGTAGGCCGCTGAGTGTCTAACCTGAGCTGTGGTGTGTCTGCAGCACACTGCCGCTATGCCCTGGGCATGGAGGACGGACGGATCAGGGACGACGACATCACGGCGTCCAGCCAGTGGTACGAGACCACGGGACCGCAGTACGCCAGGTCAGTGTGGCGGACTACAAGGGCACTGGACTACAAACATGGCGGCTCCGAGCAGGAGCTTCGTCTCCGTCTCTCCAGTTGACGGCCGTGTGTGTGTTTGTGTGTCTGCAGGCTGAACCGCGAGGAGGGCGACGGCGCCTGGTGTCCTGAAGGCCAGCTGGAGCCCTCAGACAGCCAGTACCTGCAGGTGAGGAAGGAACCGCCTCCCACAGAACCAGGAACCAGAACTGGTTCAGCTGGTACCACGTCTGGGGGGATTACCTGTGGCCCGGGTCGCACAGACACACAAAGACACTAAAGGGGTTCATGTGAAGACACACAAAACGACCACCTAGACACACAAAATAACAACAAAGAGACAAAAAATGAATAAAAAAACGCACAAAAGTGTCAAAAAGAGACATAAAATCACCACAGAGAGGTAATACATGTACACAAAGAGACACAGAATTACAACATAGAGACACAAAAAAGGCACAAAATTATCACGGAGACACAAAATTAATGCAAAATGACATAAAGCGACCACAAATAGATATAAAATGACCAAAAAGAGAAATAAAATGACGACAAAAAGGCACAAAAATGTCACAGAGACAGAATTATGAGACACAAAACAACTACAAAGAGGCACAAAATAGCACAGCAGCACACAGAGTTACAAACTAGAGACACAAAATGACCACAAATAGACATTACATGACTAAAGAAACACAAACTGACCACATAGGGACATAAAATGATGACAAAAAGGCCCAAAATCACCACAGAGAGATAATATGTGACCACAAAGAGACACTGAATGACAACATGGAGACACAAAATCACCACAAAGACACAAAGAAGTTACAAAGAAACACAAATTGACCACATAGAGACAGAAAACTAGAACAACATGACTTCAGAGAGACTCAGCTACAGCAGAAGAACCAGAACACCAGCTGAAGGTGACTGGACCTCCAGATCCAGGCTGGTTGGTGCTGCTGAGCGTAAACCAGGAGGAAGCTGCTGTGTCAGCGTAACCGGAGGACGGTGGAGAGTTCACGGTAGAAGGTCGGCCTCCAGTTTCACTCTGTCATCGAGTGTTTAAATAGTCTGGAGCTAAACGCTGGTCGTGTTTAAATAGTCTGGACTCTGGAGCAGGAGGAACCGGTGACCCAGCAGGTCTCCAGAAGCGAACCTCTCTGGGCTGCTTGTGTCAAACGCTGACAGATTAAATTAAATGTAACCTCTCAGGCATCAATAAAGTTTATCTTTAACTGTTCCCTGTCATGATGTTCTCATTAGAACATCTGTAGAACCTACAGAGTCAAACTGAATCATGTGGGTTACTGGTTCTGTTATGTTCACTATCTGTAGAGCAACAGGTCCAGATGAAGCTGAACATATATGATCCTATATATGTGGTCCTTTTGTGTGTCTTTAAGTCATAGTTTGTATTTGTTGTTGGGTTTTTGTATATTTTTGCATCATTTTTTTGTCTAGTCTTATTTGTTTTTTTGGTAACATCTGTCTTTATGGTCCTTTTGCGTTTTCTATTTTTTTATGTCTCTGTGATGTTTTTGTGGTTCTTCTGTATTTCCTTACAGTCATATTTTGCTTTTTTTTTGCATATTTTTGCATCACTTTTTGTGGCTCTCTACTGGTTTTTTGCCTTTTTTTGTAACCTCTGCCTTTATGGTCGTTTTTGCTTTTTTGTGGTTGTTTTTTTACGTCTTTGTGGTTCTTTTGTGTGTCTTTAAAGTCATATTTTGCATTTTTTTGCATCATTTTTTGTGTCTGTTTCGTCATTTTTTGCATCTTTGTTGTAA